TGCTTCTGTAGGAGTGAAGCTCACAAAAGAAGATTTGAAGGAGATTTCTGATGCAGTGCCCTTAGAAGATGTTGCAGGGCCTAGCGTACCAGAGAGTTTTTATCGAGTGTCATGGAAGTTTGCAAACACCCCACCGAAGGATCCAAAGATTTCAACGTAAGGCCATTACAAATGCAAGTACGTATGCTGCATGCAAAGCTTTCTATTATTGGGACTAATGTATGAAGCAACAACAAAGTTCGAGAAGCTTATATATAAATGCACAATCCTTAAACTTGATGTTTTTGCTATGTTCTTAGAAATGTTGTATCACTTATTGATGTTAGAAAGGCTATTGTTGGTTGTTGTCTTTTGAGTTACATTATGTTGGAAAGGATGCAAATCAGAATTGCCCTGATATATATAATGTAAAAGCAAATAAACATTTTCTTTAACTTATAATTTCTGTACTTTAATTTATTTGTTTGTAATTGCTTGAGTATTCAACGTTTTGCTTTTGAAAATTGCTTAAAATTTTGAAAACACAATTCACCTCCTCTTGAATGCTTCAATTGCTCAAAGCTCTAGAGTAAAAAACTAAACAAAATTCTTTAATATAAATTTAAGACAAAATCCCTTGCATGGTTGGGCAGGGCTACTAATTTGTAAGATTTCTTTTTCCAAAAAAAAAAAAAGAAAAGAAAGAAAGAAAAGTGGATGGAATGGAGCCACCTTAAACAAATTTACCAGTTTTCTTTTACACGTTTCATAAAAGATTTGTATGACGAGACAAATCCTCTTCTTTTCAAAATGCCTCACCCACCATTCTCAAATCCTTGATTACGATGTACAAAATGTCCTTAATCTTTTTCAACAGCCACAATTCACAAACCACTATCAAACCACTGTATGCCGAATTTCATCTGTGGTAGCAAACAGGACCTTAATTTTTCTCTGTTCAACTTCCGCTCTCCGGTTTAGAATTCCATGAACCTTGAGAAAAACCACAAGGTTTTCATTTACATTCACAAGCGAACACCCATCTGGTGCAGCATCTCTTCCACCAAGGAGAACCTGTAAGAATAACAATATGAGTGGTGAGAATTTGATGCACATGGATTCCACCATGCATGTCTTAAGTCCTAAGTCAGTCGAGTCACTTCAACCATAGTTATCAGGGTGAATGCAAAACTCTAGCATTTTGCATGCAAACAACTAGGTGAATTGAAATGGTCAATGGTAAGAAATGTATACTCAAATCTATCAATATCTGCAGTTGAAAAACTCAGCATTTCTTATCAGTTAAAGACGTTCAAAGGATTCTCATAATGAATCATACTCCAGGGGAGGGGCAAGGTGATCAAGAAGAGACGTTAAAGAAATGTGTAACCTTGATACGGTAATTTCAAGGAGAGGTTGTTGACACTGCTAATGGCAGAGTATAAGCTTTTAATGTTCAAAACTTTACGGTCAGGTTTGGGTGGATGGAGTGGTCATTCCTTCGTCGTCAAACTATAAAAACATTACACACAAGAAATAGTTATTCCTTATAACCAAGACTTAATGAGAGATGTAATTAGCTATTACCATTTAATTATCTTATTTTTTACCGGTTTGACCAAGTAATTTAAAGATACAACTAACCAAAAAAATGTCATACCTCTAAAGATGATAAGAGTGGCTAGAGTTAAGATCTCTAATTTGTGACTTCTAATGGTTTCAGCTACAGCATCAGTTTGACACAAAGCAAAAGCAGGCAACCTGGAGAAGAACAATTATTAAAATCTAGATGTCATTGATAACATGACTGCTGTTTAGACCAGTGATTGAAATTAAACCCAAACCAGAATGACAAAAGAAAATGTTACATTCATTTACCTTTCATTTTTCTGCTTAGCAAGCAGCTCTGCCCTGAGTGACCTGAGACTTCTCACAGTTGACTCTACAAGATCCATATCCTGTTTAACCCTGTCATCCGACCAACTCTGTTCCAAGAAGAAGAAACACTCCACTCAAATGTCTTGTAATCAATATTCATTTGTCAGGATAACCAACCTAAACTTAACCAGCCAAAAGAGATCTTTGGTGCTATGTATACTACTGATAAAAATTCATTAAAATTCTAAAAGCTTGAAGTTAGATAAAAAAATTATAAGAAAACACAAACATATTTGATTAGCTGCGATGTTGTAAAAGTAGAGGTTAAGAGCCAAATGAAACTTAGGCATGGCTACTTAAATTAAAATTACCTCTACAGGTGATGGATACTCACATATCATTATGGACTCTTTTCTTGCAAGGTCACTTGCGCCAGGTACGCGCTGCCACAATTCTTCAGCAAGAAATGGCATAAAAGGATGAAGCAAGCATAGACCAGTTTCAAGACACAGCCAAAGAGCATCTTTTGCACATCTCCTTTCAGAGGAAAAATGCCAGACAATCTCCAGCAAAGTAAGGCTTGATTGCTTCAATGAAAACATCACAAGACTGATATTGCCACCATGAATACACAGTGCTGGCTGCATCCGAAAACTCGTCTGAATTCAAGGACTCCACTGTTTTTTTTTTTTAACACTTTATTCAGCACTGAAAGAATCCACTTGCAACCGAAAGGCATTGTCTCTGGGTTTATGGTTGATGGAGGTGCGTAATCATCTCCAGGTTTGGTCAATCCAAATCGTACAGCATTCCAAAGCTTGTTACACCATAGTCGATAACCAACAACTCGTTGAAAATCCAAATTGATTTTATTTGACTGAAAGGACAAAACAATGTTACAGTGTCACTTAACAAGAACTAAAGGGGGTGGAAAAGGTACAGGAAGAAGACATAATATATATGTAAAAGGAAATATGGACCTGAGCTGATAGGAGAGAAGTGAAAACCTAAGTGCATCAGCACCACATTCAGCAATACCATTAGGAAAATCTTTCACTTGTCCTGCTTTTGCAACAGCCATCTCATTTGGATCCAGGTTGCTCTCCTCTAGCCTCTTTGCGAAGACCTTCAAGGGATATGCCATTTAATACTCCAAGAGGATCAATTACATTTCCCAGAGACTTTGACATCTTACGGCCATGCGCATCACGTATCATAGGGTGCAAATAAACCTGCATAACATTAAATTCATTGACAGATAAGAAATCTATGGAAAACCTTGCAAGTAAACAACCAACAATGACAAGGTTTACATACAGTGCAGGAAAAATATTCCCACCTTTGTAAAGGGCACATCACCTCCCAGTTTAATTCCTAACATAACCATTCTAGCCACCCAGAAGAAGAGAATGCCATGTCCAGTTTCAAGGACTGATGTTGGGTAGAAGGTCTTTAAATCGTTGGTATCATCAGGCCATCCCAGGATAGATAAAGGTAAAGGAAAAAGGCCAGAAGAAAACCAGGTGTCTAGTACATCTGGATCTTGAAAAATCCCAAATTTTTTCCCAGAAAATCTTTGGTTTGCTTCTGGTAAAGCTTCTTTCTCATCTCTAGCAATTATCCAGTTGTCATTATCTGTTCCATGTTCCTTCAATTCACTGTCTTCTAGTTTAATGCACCATGCAGGAACCTGGTGACCCCACCATAGCTGCCTTGAGATGCACCAATCACCTGGGTTATCAAGCCATCTGTAATCTCAAGTATTGAAGGCAAATCATTAGTGGAATATAATCAGGAATTATGACCACAGATTAAACTATATGACAACAAACTTAAGGTTCATTAATGTTAATGCATTAAGTGAAATTCATTATTCATTAGCAGTAATGAAGGCATTACCAGTTCTTCCGTTCGGCAGTATATTGTCTTGGAATGAACTCCAGCTTCCTATTTTTATCATCCATAGCTGCATCAAGAGCCTGCTTTGCCATCTTACTGCAGTGAATGTACCACTGGGGCTTTGCCATTGGCTCCACAGCATCATGGCTTCTTGAGCAAATTCCAAGACTCATGAAAGTATAAAAATATATATTTAAAGTGTACTTAACCATTGATAATTGTAGAATTATGGGCTTAAATTGTATTTTTTTACAAGTAATTTTGTAATTGTTCATTTTATTCATTTATGTTGTGCAAATTTTTGTAATTGAAGGTTTGATAACTAAATGGAGAGAATTAGAAGAAAAGGA